CATTTCTTCAAATTTTAGTCTTCCTTGGTCAATCGCATCTTGGATCGTATTCCTGAAATGTATGCAATTGTTAGTCCAATGTCCAAAAACATTATGAAATTTATAATATTTTCGACCATTCCTTTGTTCTGCCGAAGACAATTTATGATCTTCACTCAACTTAATTTGTTTGTCTTTTAATAAAATATCGAAGATTTTATCAGCTTTTGTCACATCGAAAGTATATGTTCGATTTGTCATCTTATCTTTCACTTCATTCTTTTGTAGCAGTTTACAGATATATGGAGCCCCTACTTTGAGTTCTGCTATGTTTACTTTCTCATCGACAGTTTCTTCAATATCATTTTCCGTCATAGTATCTGTCTCATACAAATCATTTACATATGCCACTCTTTCTTTTTTCAAGGGTTTCTCATATTTCTTATACATTTGCTTTTCATACTCAATTTGTTCCACTCTTCTGACTTTATCGGCTAATTGGGTCATGTCGTTCAATGGAAAATTGACTAGTTTTTTTCTAATCGAGAATTCTAAGTCTGCAGAGGCCATTCTGACTAACTCATATTCGGGAATTTGAGTGAAACATCTCAACTTCATTTGTCTAAATCGATTCAAATAATCATCTATACTTTCATGATTGTATCTTTTTATATTCATCAAATCAACAAGACTTACTTGAGTTTCTCCTCTAAAGAATTGCTCATGAAAATTTCTCTCCAGTTGCAGCCAATTATAAATCGAATTAGGTGGCAACGAGGTAAACCAAGTAAATGCATTCTTAGTCAAAGAACTAGGGAAATATTTCATTTTTAATTCCTCACTCATCGCGAGATCTCCACATTCGATCTGATATCGAGCTACATGCTCGATAGTTGATTCACCAACTTCTCCAACAAATTTGGTGAATTTAGGTACTTTGTATCCTCGAGGTAATTCCGTCTCGAGAATCGTATTTGGAAAAGGAGACACAAAGTATGTTTGGTTGGGTGGTCTAAATTCTATCCCTTGGAAATTCATCATTTGTCCTAACATGTGATTATTTTGCATATTATTTTGATTATACATATTTTGAAATCCCTCATTCATATTTCCATAAATATCATTTCTTCCATGTTGGTATTCATTCCCTATTTGTTGATCGTTGTTTCGATTTCTCCTTAAAAGATATGGGGGATTGATATTGACATTCTGGTTAGCATGATTTTCCACCCTTGTTCGTCGAGGTACAACCAATGCATCCCCGATTCGTGACATTTGATCTGCTAATATCTCAAAACTAGTTGTAGTGTTTTGAACTAATGGATTTAGGACTGTAGTCAACTGTTGGGATAACATATTCACCATCTCAAAATTGCTCTCATCCATTTGTTGTCTAAGTATCCCTAATGAGTTACTGGATATCCCAGTACCAGTGTTCTCGATAGTCTCAAAATTGGATCGATGATAATCTCTATCGGATGTATATCTTCCATGTTCCAAATTTCCTCTATGGTCTAGATTTCCTCTATGATCTAGATTTGGAAGCGTCTGTTGTGTGCCTAAATTCTATCCGCTTCCTGAATTCTGAGGGATTACTAAGTTTTGAGATGTTCCTAAATTCGGAGGGACTCCAAAGTTCTGGGGCATGCCCAGCGTTTGAGGCATTCCTAAGTTATATCTCGAATTCCGCTGTGTTGAAGAAGTTCCAGCCCCGCTCGTATTACTAAGCGAAAACCCAGGCGGTCTTACACTCATATATGACCCTACATATGTTGTTGTGGGGTTTCCTATAGTTTGCATATTATTTGGTACCACCGTATTAGATCCTACTTGGGTGTTTGTTAAGGTACCTGAATTTAGCTCGTTACCCACAGGTATCGACATACTTGTAGTCGTCGATGTTACAGGCATATTCCCATTATGACTTTGCCCCTAGTATTTGGTGAATGTACACCATTTAGACCCTCACTATTACTCTGGTTATTTGAAGAATTTTGACTCATTCTTATAACTCTCCCACTCCTTAATCTCATACACTTTCGGACTAACCAATTTTGTGTTTTTCAACACAAGTCTCCCCTACCTGGCGCACCAATTTGTTTCTGGTGGAATCTCGATCGATTTCGACTCCTAAGATATTTTGATCCTAATCAAAATTCTACCACGTAAGTTCTTTTTGCTTAGGCTAGCAAATTAATCTTCAATCAAAATGTGTATGAGGATCGAATTCTACCCGATTCCAAAGATGTTATTTTTGGTGTTTTGTATTAAGAATACTCGAAGTAAAGAAAGTAGAAAATATATGGAATCGAAAAGTTGTTCTGGAACTTAGACTGCTAAAAAACGTAAACTACGAAAATCTTAAATTTGCTTTAAGTGTAAAAGACCGGAAATCAAAACAGCAACAATGTAAATACCGAGAAATCGAATTTGTAGGAAATGTAAAAGACAGTAAATCAAAGGTGCAATAAATGACTGGAAATCGAAATTTCATTAATGTAAAATGACTAGGGAATTTAAATACGGAAACTTAACTTGCATTGAATCGAAATGACCAAGAATCAAAAATACAGAAACATAAAATTGCTGAATATAAATTGCATCAAAATAAATTACCAAGGAAAATAAATAAAGCGATAAAGGTACTCCGTGAGCATAGAAATCCAGATTGTCAGAAGCTTCATGGTGTTCGTCGTTTCTCCGGTAGACTTTTTCACTACTAATCCTGTTCTTTGCCAATTTCTGCTCCCCTGTTCCTTCCTCCTTTGCTCTATTTATAGGGTATCATTCAAGCCTTCCAGGAGCAGTTAACAAAACTGCTACCACGTTCTACGTGCATGTTGCAGTTTATCTTCTACAGTTTCCCACGTTCTCACGATCTTCGACTTCTATTATGGTTTAGAAACTGCTTCCTATATGTGCGTTTGACTATTCTTCCTTTCACGGTTTGGCCAAAGTCTCGATGTCCACGTCGGTTGGCTTTCTTCCCTCTCGATTTAGTATTTTCGAGAACTCCAAATTGCTTACGATCCCTTTTTAACCTTGATCTCATATAACTCTAATTTCTTAGTTTTTATTCGACAATAAGCATTTGGTTATCATTCACTCAATTCTCGATTGTGCTTCTCGATGTTATGTGCTACGTACTTCTAATTAGACATCGAATGATTTTTTATCTATCTTATCGATTTATCAATCAGTCATATTTCTTTCCTTCGTTTTCGATCGCTTTTCTCGATTTCCCACTAACAGAATGTAATTTGAAAAAATCTCATAGTATTTTTTATAATTTACCATTCATTTTAATATATATGTATGGTTTTACAATTTGTTCCTTCCACTATTCTCAACAAAGGCAAATATTATGTTTATCAAAATCGGATGGGTCGGTTAAACAGGTTGGATAGGAGAATCGATGCGACAATTAGTTTGGAGTTTTCTAAGAATCGGACAAATAATAAATCAGTAAAAAATTGGATAAATCGATTAAAAATCAGAAAAAGATGGTGAAATAAGGATTAAGGGTTATCTAATTTTTTTTCTTAAAAACTAAATCACATAATTTTGTCCAATATTTTTTTCTTTTTTAGTTTAACATAAAAAGACACAAACGTAAAGAGAAATATTATTTTTTTTATTAATGGTGAAATTATTTTTTTATTATTGTTTTCATTCTTACCATTACCATTTTTACCGTCACTCCACCACCTTTTGTTTCTACGTGTTTTTGTTGTCATTATTATTTATTATTATTATTATTATTATTATTATTATCGTTATAATTATTTATGAAAATATAATAATATATAAGAATTACAGTTTTTTAATTTTGAAAATTAATTTGTTGAGTGAATAATGAGTTATTCTTGAATTTCATACCCATATTTTGAAATAAAATAAAATAAAATATAAAAAATTTGAAATTTAAAAAAAATAGAAGATATGATGTAATTTTTTCTCTTAATTATTTTTATGTTAGTTGTAGTTTTCTTTCTCCTAATTATTTTTAAATTAGGTATAGCAATAACTTTTTTCTCTTATTGCTTTATATATATATATATATATATATATATATATATATATATATTTATTTATGTTATTTTTTTATATATTTTTTATAATTTATTCTTATTATTATATAATATTTTTTAAAATAATATTTATATTAGAGTAGAATTATTATTATTATATTGTGATAAATTTATTTTAAGTTTAATATATTATTATATTATTAAAATATATTATTTTATTATATTTAATTTAACTTCTATTTAATTCTTGATTAAATTTTGATTTTTAAATTTATACGTGGATCGATTTGATGACCAATACGAATAATCATGGGAAATATATGAAAAATTGAAAAGAAAAAAACAAAAGTAAGTGGAAAATTAAAAATGAAGTTATTCAATTGATATTAAATAATAAGAAAATAAATGAAAATTTAGAAGCTTCTGCGCTTAAAAATTTTCCCATTATAGAGCAATGAAAAAAAGGAAATCACAAACTTATTAGTGCACTCCAATCGATAAATTATTAAAAGAATTGTTTTCATCCCTGGGTCCATGATTTAAGAAAATGTTTGAATATTTCCTTTATAAATACTTATTATACAAGAAAAAAAAATATGTTTCTATAAATTTTGTTTTCTTGTCTTCAATTTATAACTGTCATTATTATTAATGCTTTGTTTTAAAACAATAAATGGCATTATAAATAAAACAAACATAAGTTATAACCTCCTTCTGATAAATAAAAATGGAGCATTAATTACTAAACAGTGTTAATTATCCCCTGTTCCAAGAAGTGAAGCTTCCAATGTTGGTTCCAGCTGCTAATCAACACACACAGAGGTCAAATATCTGCAATAAAATAACTAGTTAACCACTACAAAGAGCTTCAGAGTAGATCGCTATATTCCAAAAAAAATAGAAGAGGTGGGTTACAAGCTATTTATCAAAACGCTCCTTCATCAATTCAAGCCTTTGGCAGAGTCCTGAAGTTTGACTGAGGCATCGGCGATGTACGACTCAGGAAACATTCCCAAAGGTGCGTTCTTGTTACCCCTCACTCTGTTTCTCATCGTGCTAATCCTTCCTCTCCTCAGAAACTTCATGCAACCATCTCCAAACACTTATGCCACCACCCACTTGGAAACCAATGAGACAAAAGAATGCAACATTTTTTCCGGAAATTGGGTCCCTCATCCCAAACAACCCTACTACACAAATCAGACCTGCCCTTTCATACTCGACCAGCTTAATTGCATCAAGAATGGAAGACCCGACAGAGATTTCCTCAAATTAAGGTGGAAACCTCATGATTGTGAGCTGCCACTGTTTGATGCAACACAGTTCCTGGAGCTAGTACGAGGAAAGTCTATGGCCTTTGTGGGAGACTCAATGGGGAGAAATCAACTAGAGTCTTTACTGTGCCTATTAAATACTGTAAGTAAGCAATTAATCATCTCATTGATAATATAATAGTACCCTTAATTGATTAATTCAATCATTTGAATTACAATTAGATTATTTATTTGGATCATGATTGTCGGTAACTTTTACTTTACCTATTTGGACTTGCTTTATTGATGTGATTATTTCTTCGTCTACTCTATCAGGTTGCACATCCTGAGGATATTACAGCGAAACATACATCATATGATGACATATTTTTCAGATGGTGGTTCGTGGCTGATTACAATTTCACTGTCACAACACTGTGGTCTCCCTTTTTAGTCAAGTTCAATGACTCCGATCCCAGTGGTCGAGCTTACTACAGCGCCACCAAGCTTTATCTGGACGAGGCAGACGAAGCATGGAGCAGCAAAATCAAGAACTTTGACTATGTGGTTTTCTCAACAGGACAATGGTTCTTCCGGCCATTAACATTCTACGAAAAAGGGCAAGTTGTGGGGTGTCAAAAGTGCCAGAACTCGACAGAGCTGAACTTCTACGGTTACAAGAAGGCTTTCCAAACAGCTTTTAGAACACTCAGAAACGTTGAAGGGTTCAAAGGGGTGGCGTTTTTGGTGAGTCACTCACCGGAGCACTTTGAGAATGGGGCGTGGAACGAGGGAGGGAGTTGTAACAGGACAAAGCCATTTAGCTTGGAAGAAAGAGGGGTGTATGAAAGTGGAGACATTGTGGAGGCCTTGCATGAGATACAAGTAGAGGAGTTTAATGCAGCAAGAGAAAAGGGTTTGAGGTTTGGTTTGATAGATATAACTGATGCAATGGCTATGAGGGCTGATGGTCACCCCAGTAGGTTTAAGCCAGGCAATAAGAAGGTGAATGACTGTGTACACTGGTGCTTGCCAGGTGCTGTTGACACTTGGAATGAGTTTTTGTTGTATTTGATGAAATTTGAAGTTGAAAAGCATAATAACATGTTGTGACCTTATCAGTGTTTTGAATTGTTGAGGTGATTTTGAACACTCACCAAGTGGTTCAGGAATGAGGGTAGTGAATTATTGGGGACGATGATTTCAATGGGGTGGTTGATTTGAACATGATGCTTAAAGTTAAAACTGGTCAGAGTTTCTTGGCCTGGTTTTGCTCACAACTCAGGGTTGCGTACCAGAAAATGTATTTATCTACATTTTCATTATTTTCTTAATTCTTTAAATAGTATTCTCAAGATTTTGATTAATCTTTGTAATTTTCTTATAGCAGTGGTCTAAAATATTCTCTGATTTGATTCTTTTACGGTATTTGTATATTTTGATTAAATCTTTTAATCAATCGCAATTGTGTTTGGCTAATTTTAAATTAGGCAAAATGATATTTTTTTATGTTTATATAAACTAAAAAGACTTCTTGTATATCAAGTATCAATCAATCATTTTCCCATATTTTAGTAGCCTTGATATCTGCCTTATTATTATGTTGTTTTTTTTAGTAAGAAATAGAAAAGGGTGGGAAAAATCATTTGATTGAAGAAAACATAAAAAAAATTATTTATGAAGGTTAAACAAAAGAAAAGAGTCTAAACCTCATCTCAATTTCATTGTTTTTATTTCTTCTCCTGTATCTACTGTACTCACAAATACTAAATTAATCATGCTGGTTTGGTTCAGAGACTTTACCTTGTCCACCAAATCCATGGTGTCTTAATTAAATTAATCCTTTCAACTTTTAGTTGGCCAAATATATTATCAAAGTTCAATAAATTGTGAGTGGGAGAGAACCTAAAACTCAACTGCTCCTAAATCTGTTATGATTTGAAAAAGAAAAAAAAACATATATGTTTAAGGTTTAATTTTATTTGTGACTATAATTACTCGTGCATTCATGATTAATAATAGTGTTTGCCAATTATAGTAGATTCGTGGTTTCAACTAAGACAATAAGTTTTACTGTAAGAATGAAGCAGTGGACAAATTCGAATGCAGCACAAGATCCTCGATATTCTTCATCTGAGACGTGATAACTATATTATTATACTCTCTTCTCACTATAAATAAATCACAGGGTCAGTGCTTTACAAGTTTAGGATAGAGTGTTGCATTGCAATTACCAACACAATAAGGACCGCCACATGATTACCACCATATTACTTTCATTCCAATGATCTACAATATTAACTTTTTAAATATATTTAGTATTTTAAAGAATATATATATTTAATATATATTGCTTAAAATTAAAATAAATAAATTATTATTTTTTTTTTTGTTTTTTCACTATTATTTTTATTTTTCTTCCTTTTTTCAACATTATTTCCATTAATTTATTATTATTTTTATAATCAATATAACTAAAAATAAAATATAGTTAATAACAAATAACTAATTTAATTTAAAACTTTATATAAGACAAATATCTAAAACAAAATTAAAAAAAATTGGCACTTAGAAAGGAATGAATATATATTAAAAAGATTAAAAATTTCCATGAATATTAAATTTACCCCAACCACTGTTAAAATTTTGTAAAACTATGTGAACATATTGTACTCTTTTTTTATTCCCTACTCATATTTCAAAGTTCTTCAAAAATTATCACTAACATCATTTTACATTACAGTAGTACCCTTGGATATTTGAAAATAGGACTGTAATTTATTCTGAAAACAAATATTGCTTTTCTCCTGAAATTGTGTTTCTTAGTGTACAAAAAAAAATTACTTATTTTTTTTTCAATAAAGTATTATTCCAATTAATATATTGTACTTATTGATAATTTGAAATTATTTTAGTAAAATTGTTGTTGTTATTAATTTGTATGAAAAAAATATGTAATCATTATGGAACGAAACAAAGAAGTGATTACTTTTGAAATTATTTGAGTAAATTATACAAAAATTAAACCATGTATAAGTTATCAATGTGTAAAATTTTAACAATAAATATTTTTAAAATTATTATAATAATTTAAATTAAAAAATACAAAAAGCACTAAAATAAGATGCACTTAACTTTAATTGAAACGAAGGGCGGCATCTCCGTGAGAGGCTCCAAATATTATTAATTAATTATTGGTATTATAATTTTTTAATGTTATATTATAAGTGCAAGTTGAATCTTCCCATGTTATAAGTGTAAGTTGAATGTTCCCCCGTTCCATGGCAGCATTGGTCGAAGAAACTCTGAAGTCACACAGAACAGAAAAGTAACCAGAGCCAGTTAACTGCTAAAAATACCTTCAGAGTATATCAGTATATTCCATACAAGTATAACCGTTGAAATTATTCAGCACAGCACAACGGTTATTGATTTAGTGCTGACATTTGAGGCCAGGATATTATGTTCAATTGCCAATACACCCCAAGAACCACTCCCAAAGGTGTGTTCCTATTACCCCTCACTCTGCTTGTTATTGTGCTACTCCTTCCCCTTTTCAAAAACTTAATTCAACCATCTTTTGAAATACACACCAGTGGCTTGGAAACCAAAGAAACAAGAATATGCAACATATTTTCTGGAAATTGGACTCCTTATCCCGAAGAACCTTACTACAGTAATGAAACCTGCCCTTTCAGAACTGACAAGCAGAACTGCTTCATGCACGGAAGACCCGACAGAGACTTCCTCAGATGGAGATGGAAACCCCGTGAATGTGAGCTTCCTCTATTTGATGCATCTCATTTCTTGAGACTTGTAAGGGGAAAGTCCATGGCTTTTGTTGGTGACTCAATTGGGAGAAATCAAGCGGAGTCCTTGCTGTGCCTCATAAACAACGTAAGTAATCAGTCATTACTGACAACTTCTTTCTTTTATTTACAGGATAATCAAATGTAAAATATCTTCCTTAATTTCATCCCTCAAATTGCAATTTGTAGAGCAAGATATTGATTACCTCATAATAATAATGAGAGTAAAAATGTAAAGCCAAATAATTTCTTCATTTACTATGTTAGGGTACTAATGTGGAAGATATCACAGCCAGATATACAACGAAAAACGGCACATTTTTCAGATGGTGGTTCAGTGCTGAGTACAATTTCACTGTTACGATGTTGTGGTCTCCCTTTCTAGTGAAATCCGTTGAGGCTGATCCGAAAGCTAGTTCTTTCTACAGAGCCACGAAGCTTTATCTAGATGAGGCAGATAAAGCATGGACTAGTAAAATTGAAAATTTTGACTTTTTGATTTTCTCCACTGGACAGTGGTTCTTCCGTCCAATGATGTTTTATGAAAATGGGGAATTTGTTGGATGTCAGAGATGCGAGAAGAACATGACAGAGCTTAACTTGTATGGATACAGGAGGGCATTCCGAACGGCTTTCAGAACTGTCAGAGATCTTAATGCCTTCAAGGGGTTGACTTTCTTGGTGACTCACTCTCCGGAACACTTTGAGAATGGGTTGTGGAATGAGGGTGGAACTTGTAACAGAACAAAGCCCTTTAAGATGGAAGAAAGAGGGGCGTACAGAAATGGGGATATTTTGGAGACATTGAAAGAGATACAAGTGGAGGAGTTTGATGTAGCAGAAAAGGAAGCCACGAAAAAAGGGTTTGCGCTTTGGTTTGATAGATATATCTGATGTAATGGCGATGAGGCCCGATGGACACCCCAGTAGATATGGGAAAGTGGTCGATAAAAATGTGACGATCAATGACTGTGTTCACTGGTGCATGCCAGGTCCTGTTGACACATGGAATGAGTTTTTGCTCTATTTGATCAAATTGGAAGGAGAAAATGGTAACACGTTGTGATCTGTATTGTGAATGGATAAATCTTGTTTCTGAACAAGGTCCTAGACCACAACAAAATTGTATTGTTCTTCAATTGCAGAATTATCTTCCTCAGCGACTATAATAGTAGAAACTTGTTCGTCAGTATCTTTAGCAGAAAGCAAAGTAGATGGATCCTGACTAAGTTTCACATCAAGTATCAAAATGAGATGCTTGGTAGATTCCTAAGCGCTTGGGATAGTTATGAAGTTGCTTCAAATGTTCTTACTTGTACAATGAGTGTAACAAAATATAAATTCTGGCAAAAGAAAAACCATATTTTTTTGGGCACACCAACTTACCATACCGTTTTAACCCACAGCAATTCTGCACGTCAACTCAGAATTTTAATCTCAGATAGCGAAGTAACAAAATCTCAACAAATTCAAATCAAATAAATTGGGATTTGGCAGAGTATTCCACAATGATCTTTCACGGAAGAAAAATATACATAAACATCATTAATACTAAATGATACCTTGCTAGTTGTTCAGTATATACTGGCCTACATTCTCAGTATATCTATATTTATAATCCTTCGTATAAAAAGTTCAGGATATATATAATATCATTTATATTTATTTTATTCTTAAGTGGTGCAGCTAAAATTTTATTTCAAATTTTACTACTTATTAATTATGTATATAATTTTTTATATGCCATTAATTTTCGTTTCAGATTTTTAATATTTCTTATCATTTATAGTTTTATATTTTATCTATTGGATCTATAGATAGTCCATTATGGGGGTTGAGTGGTCCATTTAACAAGCGGTTCTAGCCCATTTTATTCATTTAAATACGGACCAATACTTAAAACAGCTTAGTAGTGGTTAACTGTAGTTAGACAATGACAAAGATTAATGCTAAAAAAATATTATACAATTTTGTAAAAAATAAAATAAAATTGAGAGGACTGAGATAAAAAAATAATAATAAAGCATGAATTTAATTCTTAAATAAACCGAATAGACTTCCTACCGAAAAAGTTTTTCAATCGACTCAATATCAAATTAATTAAAATTAAAACACATGTTTTAAGCTAAAGTCATTGTTAGGTGAATCGGTGTGCTGATTTTGACCTTTAATTTATTTCCGTTTCTTGTGTCCCACACTCAACCATTAACAGTGTGTTTGGATAACAGAATCAATTATGAGTCAAAATCATGGTGAAAATTTGAAATTAAAAAAGAGAAGAAGTTATTTTCACGACCCAATTGGAATTGATTTATTATAAATAAAATCCTAATTATCGATTTATTTTTATGAATAAATAATATATTCTAATAAAAAAATTATTTAAATAGAATTTATGTTAATTTATTCATCTAAATTTATTTATTGTTTATATAATGTTATTTTTTGTTCTTTATTTACTCGTTGTTTTTTCGATTTTCTTTTTATATTTTCTCTCTCATCTTTCTCTTATTCTTCTAATAGAAAATAATATACTTAAATATAAAAAATATGTTAAAATAATTATTTTAATTGACATTAAAATTTAAAAAATATCAATTAAATATTTACAATTATGAAGATAATAAATAATTTATTTATCATAAAAATAAATAATTAATTTAAAATTATTTAATCATAATAAATTAATTACTCATTCAAGTAAAAACATTAAATATTAATGAGTTAATTTTATTTTTATTTAGTAATTAATTTACATATAATTAGGTTAGGTTATTATGAATAGTTGAATTAAATAATTTTAAATGAAATATTTAATAAAATATACTTGAAATAAATATTTTATTATTTTCAGTGTTGAATTTAAAAAATATTTTAATATATTTTTATCAAATTTTAATTAGAAGAATAAAATAGAGTAAAATAAATAGAGAAGAACAAAAGACAGGGAAAGAGAAAAAAAGAGAGAGTAAATGATGATATATAAAAAAGAAAAACAGGAGGAAAAGGAAAGAATGAATTAAGAAAATAATGAATTAAGAGAAAAGAAAAAGTAATTAATTTCTGTAAGATGATTTTATTTTCCAAATTTTAAAATATAAATAATAAATAAGATTAGATAAGTAAATAGATTGATAAGAATTATATTTCAGTAATTTTTTTAAAATGTATTATTTATAACAATGATACTTATCTTTACTTTGAGACAATTTTACTACAAGATTTAGAAAGATTTTTTAAAACAAATATAAAATATAACACTATTTTAAACTCAAAACGTTTATAATTATTATTATATTATTTATCTTACTTATTTCAATATAATTTTTTTCTTATATATTTATATACATAATATTAAAAATCATATCAAATATTAATTTTTTTTAAATTTAATAAAATATTTCCAAGATTAAAAATATTTTAAAAATAATTAAATAACTGAATTACTTTAAAGATTGTTTAGAAAAAAATATTTAAAGAAGGAAATTGGAGATTCACTTGTAAAATATGGCTTAAAAATGAAAATACTGTCAACTCTTTGTTGGGTGAGTATATTATCAGATATTAATATATTGAAATGACAGAGAACCTAATCTAATAAAATCAAACATTTTGATAAAAAAGTAAAATATTAATATATTGAAATGACAGAGAAGCTAATCTAATAAAATCAAACATTGTAATAAAAAAGTACAACCAAAATCCTCAATATTCTCCTTTTTCAAGTGTCAAGTAGTATCTTCAAATATTCTTATCTTTCCCTCCTAACGCATAGTTCGGTGCAGAGGGCTGCTATGTAATCAACAAGACAGTTCAAACTAACCTGTCACAACACAAAATTTATTGATATGATGCATTAATTACTTTTTTAATAAGTTATTTTTCCATTAATCAATTTTTCATTAATTAATTTTTAATTGCGCCATTTAAAGCAAGGATTGGAGCATTGTTTAAGGAACAAGGACAGACAGGAACTATATATAAACAGTTTCAGAGTAGTTTATTAGTTTTGTACGTATCAGTTTTTGTCAGAAGCATGAAAGTTGAGGTATTGGAGATATTGAAGAGCAGCTATGCAGCAAAAAACGTTCCCAAAGGAGTGTTCATACTACCACTGACTCTGCTTGTGGTAGTGCTGTTCCTTCCTCTGATCATAAACTTTCATGAATCAGATTCTACTCTTTATTATGGTGGCAATTTGGAAAGTACAGAAAATTATAGCTGCAACATATTTTCAGGAAATTGGGTGGCTTATTCTGAAGGGCCTTACTACGACAACGAAAATTGTCCTTTCATAACGTACAAGCAAAACTGCTTCATGCATGGGAGACCCGACAGAGAGTTCCTCAAATGGAGATGGAAACCTGACGAATGTGAGCTTCCACTGTTTGATGCCAAACAGTTTCTGAAGCTTGTTCGGGGAAAGTCCATGGCTTTCGTTGGAGACTCAATTGGGAGGAACCAAATGGAGTCATTGTTGTGCCTCCTAAATAGTGTAAGTTTCCCATCAATAACACTTTGTTTTTCTTCCTTTTAAACCATTTTTAAATATGAACCATAGATCATACTCTCCAAAGTCTAAATTGGGATTCAAACATTTTGTTGTCTAACTTCATGATGGTATATTAAATGTTAAAATGATTAACTGTCGATTTTTTCTTTATGAATTATCAATAATTAGAAAGAGGAAAAAAAATTAACATTAAATATTGATGAGGTTGATTCATTCTTTTCTAAAATTAATATTTTAGTTCTCATCTACTTTTATTGTAAAAAAAATGCGATATCAATTAAAATTATTCTAAAAATAATTATGAGCTACATTAACAAATTTAAAGTGTAAACAAGGTAAAAATATTTATACTCTAAATATAAAGCTCTTAATACTATGATTGTATAAACTACCTTTTTCTATTTATCCTTAGATATTTTTCTTATGTTATATAAAAGCATTGTATGATAATATAATTAGTGATTTATTTATTTTTTTACATATAAGAGTGAGAAATAAATTTTGATTATTAAAGTAAAATTTTATCATCAGTGTTTTTATAAAATATTTTGTATAATCATTATTTATTGCTCAATATTGTATTTTTATATTTATGTTTTCGGAATACTACTAAAAAAAAACTTCACTCAAATTTAAAACCTAATCTACAATACAAGTTTGAGGTAACTGAGAATGAAGGATATATCTTGTAATGATAGTCTCAGTTAATTTGGCTAGTTTGGGATCCAATATTTTTGTCAATACAAAAATTGGGATAGATATATAAACAAGAAAATCGAATCAGATCATTTTTTATTTAATTTATTTAATATCTGATAGATTTTTTTTAATATGTAATTTGAATATAATTATATTAGACTGACTTATAAATTTTTGGATGAATTATTTTATAAATAAAAATAATACTATTTTATTTAAAATATTCAAATTGTTTTACAGCTCTGGCAATCTCATAACTATCTTTTTGAAATTGTTTATTGTGGATGTGGGACTAATGGCAAAGCTACTCTTTCAGGTTGCTCGCCCAGAGGATATTACAGGCAGATACACATTGAACGACGACAAATATTTCAAATGGTGGTTCTATGCTCATTATAACTTCACTGTTGCAATACTATGGTCCCCTTTTCTAGTCAAATCGAGTCAAGCATACCTCAACGACGCTTCTTTCTCCAACGCCGAGAACATTTACGTGGACGAAGCAGATAAAGCATGGACCAATCACATTGCGAATTTCGACTACGTCATCTTCTCTGGAGGACAATGGTTCTTCCGACCATTAACGTTCTACGAAAACGGCAGCGTTGTCGGGTGCCAAAAGTGCCATAACTTGATGACCGACCCTCTAAACCTGTACGGGTACAGGAGCGCATTACGAACAGCTTTTAGAACGGTGGTAAACCTAAAAGGGTTCAAGGGGATGGTGTTTTTGGTGACTCATTCGCCCAACCATTTTGAGAATGGGGAGTGGAACAAAGGTGGGGGATGTAACAGAACAATGCCCATCACAAAGGAAGAAAGTTTGCTGTTGCATCCGTATGGTCTTGAGGAGTTTTATGAGACTCAAGTGGAGGAATTTATGGCTGCAGAAAAGGAAGGGAGAGAGAAAGGGTTACGTTTTGGTTTGATGAATATAACGAGAGTGATGCTCATGAGGCCTGATGGACATCCTCATAAATATGGACATAATTTGGATGGGAATGTCTCCATCAATGACTGCGTTCATTGGTGCATGCCTGGCCCTGTCGATACCTGGAATGAGTTCTTGCTCCATATCATCAAAATGGCAAGCTTGTAAATACTTTCTAATTGGGTCAGTGTGTACAATTTTATTTTGCTAAACTGTTGGGCCGTTTGGCCCAAAACCATTCAACCCAACGTCACTAAGCTCTATGGACACTCCTTCAAATGTTACGAGTTTAATTTTTACTGTATTGTTAGTTCAAGAACTTTTCTTCTCTCACCTAAATAGAAATTGTAATAAATCTATTTTTTTAAGAAAACCCAATTAAGCTCTAATCATCTTCGATTTTAAATTGCAGGCAGACTTTTACTCAGGTGACTAAAAAAATAGAGAAAGAGACTTGGAAAGCACCCCCAAAAGAAAAAAGTGCGTTTAATTATTTTGAATAGAATAAAGCAAATTGGTGCTTATTTGTCTGCATTGGAATTAAAAAAACAAGTAAATGAGTTGGGAATGAGATAAGTTTTGGATTGATAATATAAAGATTCCTTTAGGAAAAAAAGGACATAAGAAATCATTATAAAAAAAGTGTTGCGTACCAAAAGGGACCTTGACCCATACATTAAAATTTGAGTGTTTGAAGGAAAAGGGAGCAACAAACCCGTGGGAAGCTGAAAAGTTGGGTCTGGTGTGATATGAAACAGTGTTACTGTGTAATACACCAAATGCCACCAGGAGCATGCATCTTCATTCAATCAATTCCCACTGAAAATGGCATGATTCTTATGATGTGTTGTGCCTTTTCAAAAGCCCCAAAAAGTCATATCAAGATTACTTATTTTCCCAATTCACATGAGAGATACATAAACACATCATCTTTATTCCCACATCAGGCCATGTGAATTCTCCTTCTAAACTGTCCTTTTTTTTCTCCTTTGTGTTCATGGATTTTTCTCAACTTTAAATTTTCACACTCTTTGCATTGCATGCAATACACCATTCACTGCCATTTTATACTAGAGTATACACAAATATATTACTCTATCAGCATTCTACTCGAATTCTTTTTTATTTACAAATTCTAAGCTTTGTTTTTTAATCAAATTTTAATCGATTCATTAAAATTATTTTTAAAATATCAATTAACTAATTGGTTTTAAGTAGAGTAATTAGTTGAATAATTAACTATACACATAAAAAAATCTAATACTAAAATTAATGACTTCAGAATGTTAAATAGATACTATTTTTTTTAAATAATGTTATCTCATTTTCTTCTCTAATTGATCATGTGCATTTTTATTATTTTTAAAATTGTCTATATATTTTTGTATTGATTAAAATTGTAGTATTCAATACAGGGCCAAAAAAAAAATTACATGAAAATATGAAGAATTTTAATTGACCAAACAGAGAGAAGTTGTTTCAACTTTTAAAAAAGGCAGGAAAATCGTGAAGGAGGAGATATGTAACGATGAAATCTCACGTTAATTCCTTCTGATTTCATATTAATCATACTTTAACCTGATTGCGATTAATTTATCCCTATTTTCATTTGATTTACAATTTTGACAACTATTTTTTATTTGAATTCAAAATCGATTTTATTATTACTTAATAACATATTAAAAGATCTACCTTTTAAGAATATTGAGGTGGAGTTGTTTTACTTCAATTAATAATTTCAAATTTTGGTATTTAATAACAAGTTATGTTAAACATGAGATAAGGTCAATTTCAATTTAAAACAAATATATTTGATCTAAAGCACTGTTTTGAAAACAAATTCCAGAGTTCATATAATAGACTGTAGATAAGAAAATGCATCGTTGACTAGTGTGATATTATTTTAAAAAACAGTTTTTATAATTAAAAGATGAGAAGAGAAACATTCTTTTCTTTTCTTTTCTTTCTTCTCTTCTCTCTCCTTATTAATTAATTATTCTCCAATCAATTAGTATGTGTTAAACTAAATAGATAATAAACATGATGTCGTATTGGTGTGTCTAATAACCCAAAAGGAAATATTGGCACTAACACTGGTTTTAGAACCAATCAAACACGCTCTTGTGCATTGAAATTCTAGATGAAGTGAGAATAGCTGTTACTAACATTAGAATAGAGTGACGAGAACCAGCCAAATGGCACATCCAAATAGCATATCATAGCACATTTATATAACTTAAACAGAGAGAATTTTATGAACATGTTGTTAGAGCAAACATCCATTTGTTGAAAGCTTCACCAAGACATTTCCTTTTGGACCTTTTGTATTGTACTTAAAAGTGGCACTGTACACCATTGACGTCTGAAAGCAAACTTAATATTGGACATGCCTTTATAATCTTGTTCTTGAATTATTTTAGGAAAACTAACAGGAGAGAGAAAACGCAATACTTTCAGCTAGTAAAGAACTTTGAGCTACCTTACTTTTTGAAATAGAATACCAGAAGAATTTCGCTACAACAAGTTTCTTCTTTCTTTCTTGTATATATATTATGGGAGTACATGCATCTCCTTTCCACCACCTTTTGACACTTTGCAAGCGACCTATCTGGATTGGCCCCACCTTGTACACATTTTATCACTGCTTCATCATCGTAACGTAGACCAACTGCCCTGGGAGTTAAGTAATGCCATATAATTATGTTAAAATGATAAATTAACATATATTTTCTTCCAATAAAAAATATTGAAAGCAATTCTAAGACCTTTTAATTATATTTACTCAAAAGAAGAAAAAGTTCAAATCTTAAAAAGAAAAAAGTCACACCTAAAAATACTTTCATCTCCATACCTTCTTTTTTAGTTAAACATATATATAATCCTGTCTTGTAACATTATAAAGAAACTTTCTTTGGATAAATTCCAATTATTTATTTTTTGTTTTGTTGAAACACTTGGGTTACTCTATTTTACGCAATTACCTATTCATGATAATTTTATTTATTTATAGCAGTTGAGGTGTTCCATGATAATTTTATTTATTTATTTAAAGAAGCAACTAATTCTTCAACCTCTCTCATGTCACAATAAGTAACTTGGCAAAAAAAAAAAAAATTGTGCTAGGCTTTCTGCTGCATAGTACCCTCTTTTTCTTCAGTTCTTCTGACAAAGAACTTTACACCCCACCAAAGTTTAGTTTTTGGCGCGTACCACGTGGATTTTATGCCATGGTTTTATGATTGTACCAACTAACAAACACTTTTCGCTTTATATACACCCTAAGCACACACACACACACACACACACACACACATATATATATATATATATATATATAAAAGCACTTCCATAATATTTCCTCCCTCGAGACCAATTAAAACCTTCTTCTCAGTTAAGAGAGACTCTCTATCTCTTATCTCTTTCTCTCTGATAGAAATGGCCGAGGAATCTCAAGGGATTAAACTGTTCGGGGCGATGATTAGACTGAACAGTGGAGAAGTAAAAAAAGGAGAGAAAGGAAGGGAATACGAGAGAGGGGAGAAGAGAACAGAAAAGATAATACCCTGCCCCAGATGCAAGAGCATGGAAACTAAATTCTGTTACTTTAATAATTACAACGTTAATCAACCAAGGCATTTTTGTAAGAGCTGCCAGAGATATTGGACTGCGGGTGGGGCCCTCCGAAACGTCGCCGTCGGAGCCGGCCGCCGGAAGGGAAAACCGCCGTGTCCTGGTGGCTGTGAGTTCCCGGATGGGCGTGTCTATGAAAGTTCGGAAGACGAGAACAAGTTTGAGATGGAACAGAGGTTGGTTTTGGACGAGGGTCACACCGATTTCCGGCAAATTTTTCCGGTGGCCAAGCGGCGGAGAACTCTCTCAGGTGGGTGGTTTTCCGCCTCATTCTCTTCTTATCTTATCTGTGTTTATTTTTCTCAAATATTTTATATATCTTTCTACCTTCAATTAATTTTCCGGATAGTGTGTTTTTTATTTGATGTATTTTGTATTTTGCTTTCCCATCCATGAATTTAGAAAATATGTAAATTTGTTTTTTTCACTCTAAAAAATCATCATATATATTTTAGTGTTAAAAGTAATTAAACATTTTAAGGTTGAAAACTATATTAATAAATACAAAAGTTTATATATATGCATTCACCATATATATTTTGGTAAATTATATATTTTTATTATCGTTATCAACTTACTTAGTTTGTTTATAACTTTTGTTTTATTTCTTTATTTCACAAGAGTTAATTTAAAAAAGCTGTTGGATGACTAATAACTATTATCTCATATTCTAAATGAAATTTGGAGGAGTAATTATATTCATACATTAGGTATAACCAATGCATCTATTATACAATTTTCGATGTTCTTTCTGGGCCATTTTTTTTTTCTCTTCTATTTCTTTCTTTGCTTCTAGCATGATATGTATGCACGTCACTAGTTTAAAAGTAAAGTTGGTGAATCTTTATTGGTTTAATCTAGTCACATTATGATGAATGTGAGTACTTAAAAAGATTATTTTTTTCCCTCAAAATTAATTTTGAATGGTCCAAAATATCTTAGAAGAATTGTTTGTTTCTGCAGCTGAGCAGGAAGGTCAATGAAATCATGTAAAATTTGAAATACGAAACATAGTGGAATTATACACGAACAAGAGAAGAAAAATTCAAAAAACGACGGAACAAAGCGTGTCTTGAGACTTAAGATGTTAACACTTCATAGATAGATGGATGATGCTAAGCTACGTGACATATTCACATTAGGTTTTCTTCGAACCTCAACTCCATTGTCTATATCTACCAAGATTTACTTTTAAGGTATCAATGGACTTCACATAAGTGACATGGTTGTTATCCATGAAATTGATGTATATATTCACATAATATTCATGCAATATTAGTCACTGCAAAAAGATAAGATTGAAGAAGTTTTTATCCAAACACGTACAATATATATTATTTTATATTGCAAGTTGTGGTTTAAGCTTTTTAATTTATTCATCTACGCTTCAATAATCAAGGAATCGATTTCAGTCTTCTATGTGCTTCTAGAGGCCGGCCAATGGACCTTACCAAATCAATCAAATTTTGGAGAAAGAATTTCCAATTTAGCAAAACAAAACGAAGATTCCAATATTATGCTTTATAACAATGACGTAAAAGTGGAAATTTTTTTTTTATTATTAAAAATTATCTATGAATTATCACAGTGAAAAGGGCATTTCATCTTTCTTTTTGAACAATCTAAAATATGTATTTGTTTTATAATTGATTGACAGCTTGTGTTCATGTACATTACAAAACTGTTAAAATTATGTTGTAGTTGACGTTGAATTTGTCGTTTTCTTTTCTTTGAATAAAAATCAACCACCAATAAAGTACATTTGTATAATCAAGCTATATGCTTAACCATCGACATCTTAGGGATTAATTAATTAGGTTGCTTTCAGCTTAGTCTTTTCTTCTTCCTTCGCTCTTCATTACTTATTCAGAAAGCATATATTTACTTTAATATTTACTTAATAATTAATGCTTTATCAGATTAGGTGCATGGGTTTATAAAAAGTATTATTTTAATTTAATATATTATATTATTGTATTACTAAAATAATTATTGATATATATATCAAAATTAGTCGTATTCCCTTTTGTTTTGTCAAAATTTAAAATGCAATTTCAGGGAAGAAGCATGATATAGAATTACGCGCTTTCTATCCCAATTTACGAGAACTGTATTAAAACTGATGAGGTTTTATATATAAGACGAATCTTAATCGTTAAAAAATATGTTTAATCATATACATAGAAATTTGTTGTTTCAGAGGATTTCATTTTTTTTCTCAATTTTTTTTATTTAAATTTTGTAAAGAAGAAAATAGAGAGTAATTATCCTCCTAATTGTCCTAATTAATTGTCCTCGCATTACCAAATATATAAAACATGTAACTAAAATAAGACTATGTATTTCTTAAATAGTATATTTGATAAAAATAATGGGGTATCAAAAATATGATTCTATGACGACTTTTTATGACGGTTGTAATCCACCTGTCATAAGTATATAGAGCGGTAGCATTTTTGTAATAATATGATAAACTTTTTATGTCGGTTGTTATATAACCGACATGGTATGTGAGCAAATTCACTTTCTATGTCGGTTAAAATTTAACGACATAAAAAATATATATTAAATAAAAAAATTAAATATATAAGTATATAAATATATCAAAATATATAAATATATTTGTATTTATATATTTTGTATATAAATATAATTTATTTGTAAGTTATTTATCAGAAAATCATAGTAGCTTAGTGGTTGGAGTATCAGTCTTCAACTCTAAGGTACTGAGTTTGAATCTTGTTAATGACAAACTTCTAATAGATAATAAAATAAGTATAATAAAAGGAAATGTAATTATAAACAAAAATCGTAGTAGTTTAGTGATTGGTCTAATTCTAGACTATAATGTACTTGGGTTCGAATCTTGCCAATATAAATTTTCGTAAAAAGTTATACTTTCTATGACCCCTATCTATGTCGCCTTTTCTGCACTAGTGTATTAAACAAATCAACAAAATCTAATACAGTTAGTTGATAATTGGGTTTTTTTAAATATTATTCCAAATGATTGATTATAATCCATGTGTATGAAAAAGACGGTTAAAAAAACCGTTTAAATCTTTACTTTAAAATAATATTTTAGGACAGATATATATTAAATATTTCAAATTCATTATTTTGGATTTTGAAAAAATTATTTGTTAATAATTTATTTATCAAAATAATATACAAAATATTACTTGCATATGAGATAAATTTTACATAGTATTTTTTTAATATAACGTAAACTATTCTAATTCAAGATATCAAAAAGTTATATTTAGATTTATCAAGTTGACTCAATTCAAAGAATTTAATCCCGACCTCCCTATGATAAGATTAAAAATGTTTATATAAAAATAATTATAATAAACAATATAAAATCTATATAACTATATATATAATTGATTTTTTAAACCTTTTGATGTTATTGAGAAAAAAATAAAAATATCATAATTTATAATTTTTAATAAATAATTATTATAATTCAAAAAATAAAAAATAATTATTATGATTTATATATTTAAAAAATAAAAATATATATAAAAGAAAAAAACAAACATAATTAATAAAGAAAAAAATATTAAAAAAGTGAAGAGTAAAAATAAAATATTTTTTTAATTATATATTTTCATTGGTATGTATAAAATGAATTAATCTAATAACAAATTATATATATATATATATATATATATATATATATATATATATCATTAATTATAATAATTATCGATATAATATGTATAGATATATTTACAAAAATATCATATATTTTTAGTGTTTTTTTGTTAAACAATGTATTTTACTTGTTTTTGTACGATATTTTTCCTGTTAGTGTATTCTTAGTTTTTTTATTTATTGATGAAGATATGAGCCTCCACAAAATATTACCTCTCTCTCTATATATATATATATAAATCCAAGTAATCAAGTTATCCTTTTCTCTAATATTAATTATTGGTTTAGTTTGATTTTCAGCTAAGTTCAACTTAATTAATTTATAGATTTAATTAGTTCAAGTTAATTAGTCTTCAATTTTTTTTTCAGGTTAATTCGTTGGATTGATAATTCTTATCCATAGGCTGGTGAACAGTAGAAAATTTAGTATATATATATATATATATATATATATATATATATATATATATATTATTTATTTTATTTTATATTACACTAAAGAACTTAAAACCTTACCCATTATAGTCTCCAACATAATATTGTTTTATAGAGTTTACTCCATAACACAACATAGTCATGTCCACCCAATGATTAAGGCCCGTGTTGTTAAAGCAATGAAATGTTTTTTTTTTTTTTGGTGTAAACCCAAATATGCAACGAAACTTTATCTTACCTAACAAACTCAATGTTGTGTCCATGTGTTACAAAAGAAAACATGTACATATACCAAATTAAAATTAAAAACACATCTATGAACAACTATTATTTAAGAATAAATAATATCTATTATTTTTTATATTTTATCAACATATATTATTTCTTTTATTTTTTTCCTATAACATCATAATATTTAAAAAAATTTATTTTATTTCTAAAATGATGAGAATGTCACCTAATCTTATGAAAGTTTAAGTATTATTTTTTTAAAATTGAATAATAGATAATAAAATTGGATGAATGGATCAACCTATCCTTTAATTCATCTAAAAAGTAATAAGATAAATTAATAATTTTAATTTATTAATCTATTTTATTTCGTTTTATGAAATGAGTTTAGTAAGATCAATTAATCTCACTTTAAAATTATATTTTTATATTAAAATTAAAAAAAATTAAAATTAAAATATTATATTTATTATATTATTAAAAAATATAAATATATTATAATATTATAATTTAAATTATAAAAATTAATAAATTAAATTTAAATTATTAATTATAATTAATTATTTTAATATAAATATTAATTAATAAATAAAAATATAAAATTATTTATATAATTAAAAACATATTTAAAAAAATACATATAAAAAAATTTTATATAAAAAAATTATTTACATGTTAATATACTATTCTGTGAGTCTACTATTTGACGTGACCTACTGAACATTTATAATTCGTGGTAATTCCTTCTTGCCCCTTGACAGTTTTCCGTCACGTATTAGAATTTATTTCTTATTTAAAAAAAAATAATTAAGTGATTTGAGTGATGTTGGATTGGACTTGACGTGCATCTTTTTGAATGACAAAATAACGTGGTTAGAAAGTGATACCTCTTTTTAGTTAAGTTTTAAATTCAATAACAAATAAAATAAGATTAATTATAATAAAAAAAATAAAATCAATGCCAATGAAACCCTATTAATTCTCTCCTTATAGCTGAAATAAACGAAGTTGATTACTTGCATGTACGTACCAGAACAAAAAGCGAAGAGACTGAGAGGAGTGATTCATATAAACAAGGGAAATGTTAATTTGACACCTTCCGCCATCAAACATTCATTAAACAACCAGTTTTAATAATATAATATTGATAAAATCTTTTAAATTTATATATAGGTATCCCATGCGTGAGTGTTTTGTTTTATTATGGTTGGATTGGAGAGGTTGTTTATGAGAGGGGGGTGCCATCTTCATTGATTCCAAGCTCCTTGAGGAGTTCAGGGCAGCCAGGGAGACGTTCCTTGATGAGGAATCCAAGAGGGTTGGCCTGACGAACGGGGGAGACGATTCCGTTGTTCTTGGTGATGCTGATTCTGGCAGCCTGGAGAAGGTGTGATTCATGGTCAATCTCAGAGCAATCTGTTCTTGGGCTCTTCACAAGAATCACCTCGCATGTGTCTTCCTCGTGGTCTCCGTCAACCTCCATTTTGTAAGACCCAGTTTTATCTGTGGTTGTTTCTTTGTTGAATGTCACATTCCTCACGTTATCAACTTGTGAGCACTTCACGCGCACCTTTGCACCTGCAATATACACGTTAGGTTACACCCTTCCTATAGCATTAGAGAAAAAAATTAATTATTTAAAGTATGGTGATTGTGA